CTGCCTCTGTCTCCTGGATGCTAGGATCATAAGTGTGTGCTACTATACCTGGATCTGACTAGTTTTAGTTTTTTTTATATATATTTTTAATTATGTGTTGTACTTGACAGTTTAATGTTAATTTGACAGAAGCTAGAGTTATCTGAAAGGAGGGAACCTCAATTGAGCAAATGCCTCCATAAGATCCAGTTGTAAGGTATCTGCTTCTTTCCTTCCTTCCTTCCTTCCTTCCTTCCTTCCTTCCTTCCTTCCTTCCTTCCTTCCTCCTTTCCTTCCTTCCCTTCCTATACAGGATTTTCCTCAGCCTTGGCTGTCTTGAAACTCACTCTGTAGAGCAGGATGGCCTTGAACTCACAGAGACCTGCCTATCACTGCTTCTCAAGTGCTAGGATTAAAGTCAGCTTGTATTTCCTCAATTAATGGTCAACAGGGGAGGGGCCATTCCATTATTGGCGGTGCCATCCCTGGGCTTGGCGGTCCTGGGTTCTATAAGAAAGCAGGCTGAGCAAGTCTTGGGGAACAAGCCAATAAGCACACCCTCCCCCTGCCTCAATCTGTAGGAAGGGCACGGTGATGCAAATGTCTTCTCTGTTGAAATTCATTTGCCATTGTAATGGTATTAAGAGGTGGGGTATATAGGGGATTATTAATGCTTTTATTGATAGAGTGGGCTAGTTATACTAGAGTGTGCTGTTACAAAGCAAGTCTAGCCTCCTGCTTTGCTCATTCACACATGTCAACTTGCCCTTCTGCTGCGGGAATGATGCAGCCTGAAGGTCCTCACCACATCACTTCTTCATTTTGAGCTTTCAGACTCCAGAACCATGACCTAAATAAATTCCTACTCATTACAAATTACCCAGTCTGGTATTCTATTATAGCAGTGGAAGATGGATTTAAGAGGCCAAGCAGCTGCATGCAGAGGTTTGTCAGTGTCCTGGATGACATCACCTGCTGAGATTCCAACCAACAGCCAGTGTCAACTGCCAGCCCCGTGACTGAGCATCTTGCCTTTGTCGTGCCATCCCATTCGTGGAGTAGAGTTGATGCTTCTCTGCTGTCTCCTGCCCAGACAGCTGAATAAATTATTATTGTTTTAAGAGACTAAGTTGGAAGATGCTTTGCTATGCAGGAGTGAGCAACCTGAGCTGCACTGAAGCTGTGTCTGCCCTAAGTGTGTGATTCCAAGGCTCTGCGAGTGCCTGTAGGAGGCACATTTTGTCAGATGTGTGATTGAAGTCCTTTTGCCGACAGAGCCATGGTTCTTGGAGCTTTGCTTCAGCCTCGGTGCAATGCTGTTTGGTGAAAATACTTCAAAATCTTGTCTTGTCTTTTGGCTCTGTTTTTTAGTTCCCTTTGAACCAGAAAGGCCTATTTTGCTGAGAGCTAGTGCAGTTTAAATTTACTGACCTTCCGCTGGCCCAAGCCCCTTGGAGCTGCCAAAGCCTTTTAGTGTGTAGGAGCCTGCCATCAAGAAATCCTCATACTCCTTTCATAAAGGCTAAAATACTGTGCTGTTTCATGCCTCTTCCTGTTCTTTGAGGCCTTCAGCAATGCAGTCAGGGTGTCCTGGATATAGAAACTAGAATTAAACAGAAACTTGGGTTTATTTTTACTTTTAATTCTTTTAATTACACTTAATCATTTATTTATATGTATGTGCACATGTGTGTGGGCATGCTAATGTCACTCATGCAGGTGCAGACCAGAGGATAACTTATTGGGGTTGCTTTTCTCCTCCTACCACAGGGGGCCCTAGAACCAAACTCAGGTCTTCGGTCTTGGCAGCATGTGCCTCTACCCACTGAGCCATCTTGCTGGCCCGAGACTAGAATTCTTGACTTGCACCAATGAAGCTGCTAATACAGGCTCATGTGTGCCCATGTCTGAGGAGAGGTCAGCTGGTTTCTACCCTGCCTTGGCTGGGCCTACATCTTAAGTATACAGACCAGGCAGATGTGGATTCCAGTTTTGAATAAAAGTGCTTCCCTTGGTCTTTTTTTGGAATTCTCCTTAGAAATCTGCTTCTCCATACTGGCTATCTGACTTAGCTTTTCTGGGGTTATTCCTGTACTTGCACTGCGGTACGTTCCAATGCAGCATCCAATAGCTACAGCTGGATGCTACATCTCTAAAGGGTTCAGAGATTTTGTTTCTGTGGAAATCTTCCCCCTGTCTCACAAGAGTTATGGAACAGATAGCAAATGTAAAGAGACTTCACTCGGAGAAGGATGGAAGGAGGAGGGGCTGGAGAGATGTCTCAACAGTGAAGAGTGTGCATTGCTCTTCTAGAGGACCTGAGTTAGTTTCCTAGTACTTACATTGGGCAGTTCATAACTAATTGCCTGTAAACTCTAGCTTTTGGTGGGCACCTGCATTCATGTGCACATATCAGACACAGACACACAGACACACACACACGTAATTAAAAAAATAAAAGCCTTGCTGGGCAGTGGTGGCGCACGCCTTTAATCCCAGCACTTGGGAGGCAGAGGCAGGCGGATTTCTAAGTTCGAGAGTTCGAGGCTAGCCTGGTCTACAGAGTGAGTTCCAGGACAGCCAGGGCTACACAGAGAAACCCTGTCTCGAAAAACAAAAAACAAAAAACAAAACAAAACAAAAAAAAGACAAGGTCTTATTATGGTAGCTCTGGGACTGTCCTGGAACTCACTATGTAGACCAAGATGGCCCCAAACTCACAGAGCTCTGTAGGTGTATTTTGGGGCTACTTTATTGGGTTCTTATATCTTACTGCCCTTCTCCAGCTTTACTCCACCCTCATCCTTTCCAACCCAACACTAGGTAGGAGAGAAAGAAGGTTAGAGGGGAAAGCGAGCGGATGTTTTTCGACTACTTCCTGCTGATTAGGGAGCTTGAGTTCCCAGGGGCAACGCCAGTCTTCACTGTCGTTAGGGTATCTCCAACCAGCAGCCTAGCAATAGCAAAAGCAGCAAACGCAATAGCAGGAAGTGGGAGCGGCACCAGCACCGGCTCCAGGATCACCAGCTCTAGCACCTGCACCACCAGCTCCAGCACCACCAGCAACAGTAGCCGTGAGAGGCCTTCTTCAATCTCTTGGATTTATTATCCTCTCAAGTGTCCACAGAATTCCAAATGTATACTATCAGCAGCTGGCAAACGTCACAGCAGCTGTGGACAGTCTGAAGCAGCACCATACCCCACACCTGGGATTAAAAGGAAAAACATAGTCCCATAACATAACTGGGTTTTTAAAGAAACCAAAATTCTTACGGCACAAATGTATTCCTATGTATTGTTACTTTTCTTCACTGCTGAGACAAGTACCTGATAAAACAGCTTAAGGACAGAAGGAAGTTTTCTGGTGCCTGTGGTTGGTGGTTTGTTCTCCTTTATGGTGGCAAGGCAATGGGAGCATGGCTCAGGAACACAAGCTGTTCTCTGTTCTTTCCTACCTAGGACCCAAAGAAATGTTTTGTCATTTGTCGCTAACTGGTTCTACTCATCCAGCTCCTGCCCAGGAGCACATGCTCCCTCCGTAGCTACTGACTGAGGCTTTGCCCAATGATTACGAAGTCAATTTCCCACCTGCTTGAAATAAACATAATTAAGAGGGTAAATTGAAAACTGGAAGGTAACCTAATATACAAAGAATGCAAATGAGTTCCAGAAGTAAATGGATTGTTGTATCTTGGGGAATATTTGCTGTCTGAGGACACTGCTGGGTTGGATTATCCTTTTCTCCCCTCACAAATGGCCTAGAACCACTGGTAACTATTTTTCTAGTCAGGTTGAATAAGTCTGTGTATATGTGATATAGTAGCAAGAAAACGTGACTTTATGGGGCTGGAGGGATGGCTCAGTAGTTAAGAGTGCTGGCTGCTCTTCCAGAGGACCTGGGTTCAATTCCCAGCATCCACATGGTAGCTCACACCTTTCTGTAACTCCAGTTCTAGGGGATCTGACACCCTCACACAGGCATACATGCAAACAAAACATCAAGTAACATAAAATACAAATAAATCATAAAAAAGGAAAACACGACTTTGGAAGTGTCCCATCCATCTGATACCATTTTTATTCTGTGACCTTGTATAACAGACCCTTTATCCTGTCATAGCTTCAGTTAAAGTTGTAAATTTGACCCGGGAAGAGCCTCAGTAGAGAAACTGCCTTCAGCAGATTGGCATTTGGGAATGTGGGAGGGGGAACATTTTCGACTGAGTTGTCTAAGAAAGGTAGCCAAGCAAGCCATAGTAAGGACAATAAGTGGCATTTCTCAGTGGTCTTTGCTTCAGTTCCTACCTCAAGTTCCTGACCTGACTTTGTTGGATGACTGACTGTAACCTGTGAGTCAAACGCCTTTCTCCTCTAATTGTTTTTGGTCAGTATTTTCTCATTGCAATATGAAGCAAACTAGAACATCCTCTTTTCTATTTGTTAAGAGGACAGCAATTCTAATCTTGTGAAATTATTGTGTATGTTCATCACCTGGCAAATACACAGTCAGTGGTATGGCAGGATTAGAAATGCATGTGCCCTACTTATCGTTAAAGTGATTTATCATTTTTAAAACATACTCAAAACGCAGTTACATAAAGCTAGTAACTTACAGGTGCTTTATTTTACATTCATTTTTCAAAGGACTATTTATTGCTTGCTATTCAATGTGTGTCACAAGCTGAGTCATAACATCGTGATTTATATTTACCTCCCACCCACTCAGGTTTCTTTCTGAAGATCCTTACACTAGAAAGAAATTACAATCTTGGGAAATTAAACAAGAAACTGAGGTTTTAGGTGGAAACAAGAGCAGGCCCACGGGTAGCTCTTTTTAGATACAGCTCCTAGCGGGAGGGACACGTACAAATTTCAGCCGTTCTCCCCCCCACAACCCCTCCGGAAGATGCTAGGGGCGGGGCTTAGCAGCTGAGGAAGGCAGGCCTAACAATGCCGCGTAGGGTGAGAGATGCTGGAGGCTGTTCTGGCAGGTTACCATTGGGCAAGATTGAGAATGACGTAATAGCCACGCGCCTTCAGATTCAGGCAGCCGCTGGCTCGGCGTTTGCGCACCAGGAGTTTGTTGCTGCTGTAGCCGCCTGGAATTGTGGGGATTGTGTCTGCCCCTCGGCTGCGGTGGAAAGCCGAAGGTAGGGGAGGTGAGGGCCCCGGGCCCTGGAGCGGGACACAGGGTGGATGGCGCCGGCCCGGCCTCCTGCCGTTAGCGGCCTCCTCCCTCCCGCGCTCTCCGCACCTTCCCTCAGCGTCCGGGTCCCACCACAAACACCTCAGTGCCTCGCGGGCCAGACGCCCAACAGCATCCTAGGCTGGCAGCCCAAAAGCTGTGCTCTGTCATGTCATTTTCCTCTTAGCGACGCAGTGACCCCCCTCCAACGCCAGAAGAGGGTGCAGTGGCTTTGGCCTGCACATCTGTTTTGAGTTTCCTTCTTTATTCTCCACCATCGGCCTCAGTTTTCCCACATTTGTTCAAAGAAGGGATGAATTAGATGTTGCTCTCTGAGACACTTCCATGGTTGACGTTTTGGTAATTAGTCAGTACCTCCCGAGTCTCTTGACATATGGTATTGCGCCCTACACCTTTGGTATCCTACCTCCCATTTGTGTGTTTTCCTTTGCTTTGGTAGATGTAAAACTTGCCTTTGACGCACGGGTTATAAGGTTTATTGTGATTTTGAATTTGTGCTTAATCTCTAGGCCTCCCCCAGGAACTTCGTTGCTGCTCACAAAGCAGGTGATCCCACTCAGATGGCCCCTGAATCCTTTTGATGGGAAAGAACTGGATTCCAGAAATCTCCAACAGCTGAGAAAATAGTAGCAACTTCTTTTTGCACAGTTAGGCACCTTTAAATATATATTGATGAGGGCTGGAGATGTACCTCAATGGTGCAGCCCTGAATTCAGTCCCTAGCATCACATACACAGGTGTACACTCTATAGTGTCTACCTGTAATCCCAGCACTAAGGTGTAAGGCAGGAGCTTCAGAGATTTCAGTGTTATCCTTAGCTACACAGGGTTCCAATTCAGCCTAGAAGACTTGAGACTTCTGTTTATCTAATCTCTATGACCCGTATGTTGGATCAGTTTCTAAAATGAATTTATAATGCCTGGTTTCTGTTCAAATCCAGCTGGCTCTCCCACTCAAACAAAACAAAACTGCAAACTGCTTTGAGGGAGTGATTAGATTAACCCACACTAGGTAGGCAGGAAGAAAATGAGTCCTCCCTGTTTGCTAAGAGAAGAATCTGATGTGTTTACAAATCCCAGCAGTATTTGTTTTGAGAGTGTGAAAGACTGTGTATATATGTTCTGTGTGTGTGTGTGTGTGTGTGTGTGTGTGTATGTGTATGGCCTTTTTAGCTTTACATGCAAATGTTTTTCATTCTGATAAAAAAATATAGACATTTAGAGATTAGATGAAATTTTAATGGAAACCATAATGTAAAATTAGGATTGCTGTGTGTGTGACATGGGTCAGTGTTTTCCACTGGGACTTGGCTCTTGAATGCTTAAGATGAGCTGCCACATCAGATTTATCATAACCTTTCTTTCAGGTCGTAAGTTCAATCTGCATGTTAATACTTTTGCTGTTTTAGGGAAACTGGCAATAGAAAACACCACATATTTAACTGATAATGGGCGAGGGAAGTGTGTTAGTAGGCACGTGACAGCTCAGAAATAAAAATCGCACGGCATTTAATGTTGTTTTCTTCCTCTTTCCTGTTGTTTTTTGAAGGCTGTTTCATCTCTACTGAGGCCAACTTTGAGTCCCTGTATGTCTCATGACAGGGAAAAGGGCCAATTAAGTGAAACTGAAAAATAACAAAATGGATTTGAAAATAGCTAACACACTAGAAGCTCCAATCTGCTGTCTCTCAGTGGTGTGTGTAGGTGTGGCTTTGGGGCCTGGGGATGGGCAGCATCTAAGTTCTAAAGCAGTTTTGAAAATCCACACCTAGAATTTTTTTTCAGAGATAAGTCACATTAGCACCTCAAACTTTTTTTCTAAAAACTAAGTGGCACATGGTTATTAAACCATGAAACTAATATGTCTTCAGATGAATTAAATCTTTTTTTTTTTTTAACTGGGTCTCACTATGAGGTTGTGGCTGTCCTCAATTAGGAGACCCCTGCCTGCCTCTGCCTCCAGAGCACTGGGATTAAAGGTGTTCGCCATCTTGCCTTGTCTCCTTCTATTCTCACTCTCTGTCTTAAATGAAACTCTTATGGAGGCAATCTTCCAGTCGCTTGGGAAAGCCTCTCTTCAGAAAGCCAATCTGAATGTTCTTTTTTTTGCGGGGTGGGGAGGTGTTTGAAACAAGGTTTCTCTGTAGCCCTGGCTGTCCTGGAACTCACTCTAGAGACGAGGCTGGCCTCAACTCAGATATCTACTTGCCTCTGCCTCCTTAGTGCTGGGATCAGAGGTGTGCACTGCTACCTCCTGGCACTGCTGCGTCGCCTGACTGTTTAATTTTTACCACTTATTGGCCATATGACCTTGGGTAAGTTCTTCACCTCTTTTTTTTTTTTTTCCCCGAGACAGGGTTTCTCTGTGTAGCCCTGGCTGTCCTGGAACTCACTCTGTAGACCAGGCTGGCCTGCAACTCAGAAATCTGCCTGCCTCTGCCTCCCAAGTGCTGGGATTAAAGGCCAGTTCTTCATCTCTTAAGCTCAGTTTTCCACTGTTTAAAATGGGAAGACCACTTAAGAGGATGGTGAGTGAAACGACGAGAGTGGAAGTTTTTCAGACACAGGAATGCAATGAAGATGTCCACTGTAGAAGAAGTGGAGGAGTTTGGGGCTTGTCTTCTCAGTACTGGGGATCAAACTCTATGGCCTGCAGCACAGGCATCTCTAGTTCCTAGATTAGGTGTCAATTTGGAAACCCATCCTGTGGTGCTAATCTTTTCTCTGAGTGAGGATGTACTTAAGCTTCAAGGTTTAGTCTAGTTGTCGGTGGAGAGCTTCCTATTTTAATTACATGTGGTCTGAAGAGGAAATATTCTGCCCTCTGTTTTTTTCATTTTGTTTATGGGTCTCACTATTGATAGTCTGTTGTTCAGATGATATGACTAGTTTATATGATCAGTAATGGTTTCTCTTTGCTCAAGTGCATGTAGAACCTCATGGACTTTTCTTGACTTTTGAAGAGCCATTCTTGACACCCGTGCAGTCTTTTAACCTGATGTTAGGAGAGATCAGTGGGGGAACCTCCTTCAGGCTAGGCTTGTAGTTCCTTCTGGGTCCATCAGCAGTAGTTTAATTTCTGTCACTGTCATAAACTGCCTGTTGAGAGCAACTTTAAGGAAGAGTTAGAGCCCTTCATTTTGGGGAAGTCAAGACAAAATTTAAGTTACTAGTCACATAGTCACAGTCAAGAGCAGAGAGAAATTCATGCTCACTCTTGACTTATACAGTTCATGGTCCAGACCATGAGATGGTATTTTCTGTAGGAGTCATGAAGGCCTCTGTGCTCCCAGAGAAGCACTAGGGGAAGCTGGAATGTTAAACACATAGGGTTGTTCCTTCAAGGGAAGGAATGCACAACCTGTTATGTGCTCAGAAGGTGGGGAGTGGACGTGTTTAATTGCCTGCTGATCTTTGCTTTACCTGTCTGGAGAGTTTTCTAGCACCAGATCCTCCCAATTTTATTTAGCTTACATCGTTCCTCAGAGAGATTCATAAAACTTTGTTAATGCAGGATTAGGTTAATTATCCACAGAATAAGTTTTCACCAAATTGTGCTGTGCTTTAAACATGCCTGAAATTGCTCGAGGTCAGACTCCGGAAGGTTGAACCCACACTGGCTACTGAGTTGTGTTGAACCAAACTGCCTTCTTGTCTTATCAAGGGGATTGTCACTCTGCTGACTGTGGAGGTTGCAAAGGCCCCTGTAGTTGTCCATATTCAGAGTGGATGTTGCCACATCAGTTAACGCAATTAAGAAATTTTCTTTGAACTCCAGAGAACTTCCTGCCGCTGCCTCCTGAATGCTGGGATTATGCTGGCAGTAAAGGCATGCACCACCACTTGGTTTATCTACCTTAAATTATCCTTGTAAGATAGGTTAATTTTACTATTTTATTGAAGAAGAGATTGAGGTTTAGTATTTTCAACAAGGTAGAAGCGAAGGATGGAGGTGTATATTTAGTTATGCCTAGTTATGCCTGCAAGGGATGTAGACAACTTGCTTGATGCAGTCGGGAATTAAAGCTAGCTCATGCTTCAGATTTCCTCCCTTGTTTATTGCACTTACTCTGCCATGGTTGGCAGTCTTCAGCAGGACGTTCTCACCTTTCTGTAGGCCTTATTCTGTGTCCTGCCCTGTGGGACATGCTGGGGGACATTAAAGTGAAGTGTTCCTGTTGTTAAGGTGCTCATAGTGTTTTCAAAGATGGGACAGTCTTATGGTCCTCCCTTACTCCCCTCACTCAGTCATTTTCTTGGTCCCTCTCCTCTTTTGAGACACTGTCTCATACTGTCTTAACTGCTCTGGAATCTCCATGTAGACCAGGCTGGCTTGGAAGTCTTGGAGATCTATCTTCTTGTCCCTGCCTCCATGCTGGGCTGGTTTGTTTTATGAGATGACTAGCTGCAGCTAAGAGACATCATGGAAAGAAGCTAGTTTCTTGGTGGTGTTCAGGAGGGTCAAAGCTATGACTTTTCTCTTTGGTTCCATTTTCTAACTTGCTGATCAGCTTGTAATCCTTCACTCACTTCATAGCATAGTTCAACTCCAGTTCTAGGTTGTAGCAGGCTTGATGAACTCTAGCTTTTAATGGTTTCCCTGTGTAGCTCCCCAACTCTTTCCTAGAACTCACTCTGTAGACCAGGCTCACCTCAAATTCAGACATCTGACTGTCTCTGCCTCCCGAGAACTGGGATTAAAGGTATACACCACCACTGCCTGGCAGCTTTTTAATTTTTAAAAAATTATGTGCATGAATGTTTTATTTGCATGTGTGTTCTTGCACCATGTGTATGCTTGGTGCCTGAGGCTAGAAGAGGTTGTTGGAGTCCCTGGGACTGGAGTTATAGAAGGTTGTGAGCTGCCATGTGGGTGCTGGGAATTGAACCTGGGTCTTCTGGAAGATCATCAAGTGCTCTTAACTGCTGTGCCATTTCCCCCAC